TCCTAATCTCAATCTTAATACAAATCTATAGTTAATACTATTAAGTATAATTTTTAACTCCTCTTTTAATTATCAATAAACATTAATAATCTAAAAATCAACTTCTAAACTAATTTCTATTATCAAAATTTTCTTTTTATTTCATAAATTCGTACCTAAAATACTCAAAAATTAAAAATTAAGTCTCTAGCTTAGAATCATAATCCTATAGCCATAATAATTCATTTCTCATCCCAAATAATCATCTAAACCTCAATAAATCAACATATATTTTCAGATCTAGTTTAGAATTTGATCCATAAGCCACAAATTCAAAGATCACCAATAAATTTATACTCTAGAACATTTATTATACTACTAACAACCTCAAAAACCATATTTATTCAACATAAATTCATCCCTCTTCCAGATCTTAAATTTTCTACCACTACAAACTCAGAAACAAAAGAAAAGGATGACTAAGAAAAAATTTTAGAACACTTACTTAGTCTTGAAAAGCTTAAAATCACATCCTAAATATCCTATTAAAAACTCTTACCTTAAAACCCAGCACCGGTGAATTTGGCTCACAGATGCTCTCTCTGCCGAAGCTCACGCACGAAAGAAGGAATGAAGAAATGAAGGAACAGGTGAGTTTTTATAAAAATTCAGTGGGTCCCACATTTTTTTTAATTATTTTCTCTCTCTCTTCTTCTTCTTTTTTTTTATTATTATTTTATTATTGTTACTGTGAGGGCGGCGACGAAGCAAATTCGTTTTCTTCTTCTTCTTCCTTTCTTTTTTTTATTATATAATAATAATTTAATAATATTATTTTTATTATTTTTTTTTATTTTTTTATTTTTTTTTAAAATTTTTATTTTTTATTTATTTTTTTTTAATTTTCTATTAACCCAAATTAACTATTAAAATTTAAATTGGGATGTTACAATTCTCCCCTCCTTTTAGAAATTTTGTCCTCAAAATTAAAATTAGTAACTATTAACTACTCACTTAATCAAAAAGACGAGGATAATCACGTCGCATACTGTCCTCGGTCTCCCACGTAGCATCACCTGGAGTCGTGCCCTTCCAAATTACTTTAACCAATCTAATGGTCTTGTTTCTTAATTGCTTGTCCTTGTAATCCACAATCCTTTCTGGTTCAGCTTTGAATGTCAAATTCTCCCTGAGTTCAATTTCCTCGGGTTCAATTATATGGGAAGGATCTGGTTGATACTTTTTCAGTTGTGACACATGGAATACGTTGTGTATTCCAGCAATTTGGGGTGGTAATGCTACTTGGTACACTACTGGTCCAACTCGTTTTAAGATCTCAAAAGGCCCCATAAATCTTGGTGTCAACTTCTTAGCCTTAATAGCTCTTCCAACACCAGTTACCGGAGAGATTTTTAAAAATACATGGTCACCTACTTCAAACTCAAGGAAAAAGTTAAAAAAATTATTAAATTTTTAAACAACGTTATTGAGTTTTAAAGTTTTTGTTGGTTATGATACTTCAACTCAAAGTCATAATCCTTCAAAAACTCAATCCATCTGCGCTGTCTCATGTTGAGCTCCTTTTGATCAAACAAATATTTTAAACTTTTATGATCACTGAAGACTTCAAAAGAAGAACCATAAAGATAGTGCCTCCAAATCTTCAAGGCAAATACCACAGCAGCAAGTTCCAAGTCATGAGTAGGGTAATTTTCCTCATGAGGTCTCAACTGTCGAGAGGCATAAGCCACTACTCGATCCTCCTGCATCAATACACAACCTAAACATTTCTTAGAAGCATCAGTATATAAGGTATAAGGAGAAGTTGGAACAGGTAAGGTGAGCACCGGTGTGGTGGTCAACCTCTTTTTCAGTTCCTGGAATGCAATTTCACACTCGTTCGTCCAAATAAATGGAGCATCTTTCCTGGTCAACTTAGTCAAGGGCATTGCAATTTGTGAAAAACCCTTAATGAAACGACGATAGTAGCCTGCAAGACCCAAGAAACTCCTAATCTCTATCACACTTCGAGGTTGCTCCCATTTCATCACTGCATCTATCTTACTAGGGTCCACCGCTACCCCTTCTTCTGAAACAACATGGCCTAAGAATTTAACTTCTTTAAGCCAAAAATCACATTTGCTCAACTTGGCATAGAGCTTGTGCTCTCTTAATATCTCCAAAACAATTTTAAGATGTCTAGCATGGTCTACCTCATCTTGAGAATAAATAAGTATGTCATCAATAAAGACTACAACAAATTCATCGAGATAAGGCCTGAAGATTCGATTCATATAATCCATGAAGACAGCTGGGGCATTTGTTAACCCAAACGGCATCACTAGGAACTCATAGTGCCCATATCTAGTCCTAAAAGCAGTTTTAGGGATATCCTCTGCTCTAACCCTCAATTGATGATACCCTGATCTTAGATCAATCTTAGAAAACACCGCTGAATTGACTAATTGGTCTAACAAATCATCAATTCGAGGTAAGGGGTACTTGTTCTTGATGGTTACCTTATTCAATTGTCTATAATCAATACACAATCTAAGGCTTCCATCTTTCTTTTTCACAAACAGTACCGGTGATCCCCATGGCGATACACTCGGTCTGATAAACCCCTTCTCTAACAACTCTTCAATTTGTCTCTTCAACTCAGTTAACTCCGATGGAGACATCCTATAGGGTGCCTTAGAAATAGGCCCCGTACCAGGTACGAGCTCAATTGAGAACTCAACCTCTCGTTCTGGAGGCAAACCGATCACTTCAGTAGGAAAGACGTCAGGGAATTCTCTCACTACTGGAATCTGATCTACACCTTCTTCAATCTCTGCCTTGATTGAGAAGAAAATCATAAAAGCTTGACAGCCCTTTCTTATACACTGTTCTACTTGAGCTGCAGACAACAACATAGGACTTTGGGACTCTATAGGGGTTACAGTAAGAGCTGAGAGTGACACACTCTTTTTCTGACAATCAAGTACAGCTCCATTTGCAGACAACCAATCCATCCCCACAATAACATCAATCCCAGACAAAGACAAACAAATGAGGTCTATGGTGGTCTTTCGACCCTCATACTCAACCTCTACATTTAGACATGCCTTAGCAGTCCTTACAGTCAAACCAGCAGGAGTAGAAATCTTCACATCAAAAGGTAAGGTACACACAGGCAATTTACATCTTTTCATACATTCATCAGACACAAAAGAGTGTGTAGCACCCGAATCAAACAAAGCACAAACATCATTATCAAGGATTCGGATTATACCTCGGATAGCATTAGGGTTGTTAGCAGCCTCTGGCCCAGAGAGGGCATACACTCGTGCTGGTACTGTAGGTCTCTGATCATTACCCCTATTTTGGTTCTGATAGCAGAATCGAGCAATATGACCAGGCTTCTGACAGATGTAACAAACCCAATAATCACCAGAATGAAACTTCCCACACTTACTGCATGCTTGATTACTAGCAGCACCGGAAGTAGGATTAAAGGTAGCTGGGCTCCTATAGGACCCTTGACTTCCACTCTGATTCCCTCTGTAGCTCTGGCCCTTATGATAGTAGCCCTTCTTCTTCTGATTTCTAAAGCCTCCAAAGATTTGACTGCTCCTCTTCTCTACTCCACCAATGGGTCTGGTGTGGATAGGGGGCTTCCCATGAGGTTCTTTCCTCCTCTCTCTATCAACTTCTAATCTAGCCTCTCTCTTCCTCCGAGAAACTATTCGAAGCTTATTGCACATCTCACTGAATGTCTTGATCTCAAAAGGGGCTAACTGTTCCCTTAGATCAGGCCTCGCCTTCTCTAGTAATAGTTCAGCCATCCACTCTGTATCTTCATGTTTCTGGAGGTAAGTAGAGTATTTAGATAATTCTGAGAATTGTTCAATAAATTCATCCTCATCTAGATCACCCTGACGAAATGCATGAAACTCAGCCTCCTTTTCTGCTCTCAGTGCAGTAGGAAAATAATTCTCAAACAATATAGCTTTAAAATCTTCCCAAGTAAGAGAGGAATCATCCTTCGGTCCTGATGTTTCCCACCATTTCTTAGCACTCTTCTATAGTAGAATATTGCCAGCTGCACCTTTTGATTAGAAGTGCACACAACCATACGAAAAATACTCTCCAATTGATCTATCCATTCTTCAACCACCGCCGGCTTAAGATTTCCATCGAAAGTAGGAGGATTAAACTTACGAAAAGTACTCCAAATCTTTGTGATCGTGGATGTCTGTTGCTCAGAGTGGAGACTCACATTCTTTGGACTAGTCTCATGGTGAGAATAAGAAGGTGAGCCTTTATCAGCAGATTGGCTCGCATTAAATACCTTGGTATGGCTTCCTTCTTGTTGGCCATTTCCCTCTCGGTTGTCATTCTCCTTATATTGTCTTAAAGCGGCCAACTCTTCTTCTTGTCTCTTCATGCGGTCACTAAGATTATATAGTAGATCCATCATTTGCCTCATAGTTGGCTCATCCTGCCTTAGTTGTGACTGTATAGGCTCGCCCTGCCCGATTTGTTGCTGTGTGGGCTCTGGTTGTGGCAGTGAAGGTATGTCATTTCCTATTGGCTCTATAGAATCACCGGCAATTTCACCACCTCTCCTAGTTTTGGACACTATCTCTCCCCTCCTAAAGGATGGAAGTCACATAATTAAGTTAACACTAATCTCAAGACAAGAAAAATAATGGAGAAGTATTATGATTTACTAATGTATATTGCCAATAAACTAGGTTAATGTATAACAATTTCATAATTTATAAGAATTTGAAACATGTAGCTCTGATACCAAAATTTGTAACACACCAAAATTTTTTTTTTTTTAAATTTAACTCAACCATAGTTGGGTTACAGCCACCCAACACATTTTTATATCAATAATTTTGATATAAAATATTTTATAATTGGCTTCAACTTACACACTATAACATTTCAGATAAATTTTTACCTCCCACATGCCATTAGGCTAAATCACATTTGTCCATCCTTATACTCCCAACAAGTAAAATAAGCAATTTAGTCAATTTTCAACACAAGCCAGTTATTTGGCCTTATAATCATGCCATTTTAACCAATCCAAAGTAAACCAAATATTAAAATTACAGTCATCCAAATTGTACTAAAAATAGAAATAGTTTGAAAGGCATGATTACATTTATATATTCATATAATTGACAATAAACAAAAAGCCCTAATATTGGCAATATAACACATTATAAATCATAAATTAAATACCCAAAAGAGACAGTGGATCTATACCACTAAGCCTCTGGGACTCCTCCACGTGTCACTCGTGGCTCTTCTCCTGAAAATTGTTAACCACATAATGAGACTCAAAAGTCCCAGTAACCAAAGCCAATTTATGATAGTGTATACAAACAGTTAAGTGTGTGCTTACTAAGTGAGAATTAAAAATAATATAATTCCAACAAATATAAGAAATATTACAATACACACAAACAACCATCCTTATATCCCTCCATTAACCTCGAGCCGTAGCCCTCACTCGGTGCTAAATTACCCGACCAAAGGTAGATTAGCCCGAGCCCTTACAAGCCACCTATTGAGCTCCAATAGGGGCGTACCACGTGGCACATAAATACAACAACAATAGCAAGTCTCCCAACACCTCCCACAATAATCAAACAAATTCATAATAATATTGCACAATTATACAATATAAAAAAATTTCATAATTTTCTCAATAATCACCCAATTAACATCAAGTAACACTAATCACAAATTAAAAGCATGGTTACCTTGTGGCTTTTTCAATAAATTATTCCTTAAAATTTCTTTCTCACCACAATCTTCACCAGTAATACAATCTACAAATAACATATTATTTATAAATATTAGTTTCAATTTTTGAAACTAATAAATAATTCTAATAATAGAATTAAAAATATAACATAATTCCTAATCTCAATCTTAATACAAATCTATAGTTAATACTATTAAGTATAATTTTTAACTCCTCTTTTAATTATCAATAAACATTAATAATCTAAAAATCAACTTCTAAACTAATTTCTATTATCAAAATTTTCTTTTTATTTCATAAATTCGTACCTAAAATACTCAAAAATTAAAAATTAAGTCTCTAGCTTAGAATCATAATCCTATAGCCATAATAATTCATTTCTCATCCCAAATAATCATCTAAACCTCAATAAATCAACATATATTTTCAGATCTAGTCTAGAATTTGATCCATAAGCCACAAATTCAAAGATCACCAATAAATTTATACTCTAGAATATTTATTATACTACTAACAACCTCAAAAACCATATTTATTCAACATAAATTCATCCCTCTTCCAGATCTTAAATTTTCTACCACTACAAACTCAGAAACAAAAGAAAAAGGATGACTAAGAAAAAATTTTAGAACACTTACTTAGTCTTGAAAAGCTTAAAATCACATCCTAAATATCCTATTAAAAACTCTTACCTTAAAACCCTGCACCGGTGAATTTGGCTCACAGATGCTCTCTCTGCCGAAGCTCACGCACGAAAGAAGGAATGAAGAAATGAAGGAACAGGTGAGTTTTTATAAAAATTCAGTGGGTCCCACATTTTTTTTTAATTATTTTCTCTCTCTTCTTCTTCTTCTTTTTTTTTATTATTATTTTATTATTGTTACTGTTGAGGCGGCGGACGAAGCAAATTCATTTTCTTCTTCTTCTTCCTTTCTTTTTTTTATTATTATAATAATAATTTAATAATATTATTTTATTATTATTTTTTTTATTTTTTTATTTTTTTTTAAAATTATTTATTTTTTTATTTATTTTTTTTTAATTTTCTATTAACCCAATTAACTATTAAAATTTATATTGGGATATTACATCGTTTGGGAAATTCTTTGAAAAATGAAATTACCCCCTAAGTTGCTTATTTGGAAAATCATTCGGCATTCTTTGCCGACCACTGTCTGCGTCTTCATCATCTTAATGTCTCTGAACTTTGTTTTTTTGTAGTTCTCCAGATGAATCTTATGATCATTTATTTCTTTTTTTGTCCATTTTCAAGAACAATTTGGTTTGGATCACATTTGAATTTGAGAACAATTGTAGCTAATAGTCTATCTATAGATAACTGGATTTGCGAATAGATTTTGAAGTTCTCATAGCACAGTGGTCAGCTATCGTTATAATTCTTCATTTCCTTTCCCTTTTTTTTTTTTTTTTCATGGAAGCTCTTTGGGCATGTCGAAATAAAAATGTGGTCAAAATAAGGCTGCAACACCCATGGAAATAATTTCAATGGCACAAAGGAACTATTCCCATTTTGTTCATTGTAAATTTGTAATCACCTTCAATGGTCCCCCAGCTCTGAAAGCTGGGCAACAAAATACTTTGACCCAAGGGCATTCGAGTCTTGGAATTTTGAAGCTAGCAATATTGCATGCTTCTTGGACACTTCTTCGTTCCATTATTAAATGCAAGAAATATAAGATACCACGTTTGCACGTTGTTCTCAATGATCAGCTACTGTGCCATGGGAGGCTGGAAAAAGATTAGGAGTCTATTCAATTTACCCTCTTCACTAGATATCTCTCCCCTTAGCCTTGCCTCTTCTTATTTTTGTCCGAAACTTATTATTGTGTGTGTATCAAAAGTACCTGTGTGTGTCAAAAGTTCTACATTGCTTAAATGAAGAACTCTCCTAGTGTATAAATATTAAGAAATGAAGTGGACTGGTAAAATGAGTTTAGAGGAGAAGTGGGCTCATGTATATGAGACAAACTAACTCAAGATAATCGTAATTGAAATCAATTAATTTGTCCCCTATGTGCAAGTTTAAGAGGCATTGGATTTTTTTTACCGGATCATTTATTACAAAATAATTAAATAAGTAATCATTTTTAGCTTACCCAAAAAACCTCAAATTTTGCTGTTTAAATTTGAATTTGAAGCTTTGGCAGTTGTTTAGGCATTAAACTATTTCTGAAAACTGATTTTGTAAGTTAATGTCTTAAACGTATTTGTCTGCCAATGTCTCTAGATTAATGGTGTTTTATATGTGTGTAATCGAAGCCTTAATCCGATGATTATGAGCCAACGTTCATGTCTCCATCTTTGGGCTATATATAGCCATGGGTACAAACAAATAAACTCTCCAGCCTCTTTGAGCTTTTAGGGCAATTCTCTCCTCCCTCTAGCCTTTGCTATGTTGTTCGTCTGACCTCATTTTAGCTATACTATTCTAGTTCCTTGCTCTGCAAGAAGTACTTGTTTAATTATGGAAAACTATCGATTCATCGTCCCGGTGTGCCAGAATAGTTATTAAGGACTGTGTCCTTCCGGGCACGACTCAAGCATTGATTCATGTCCCTACACTCAACACTTATCATATGTCCTTGTAATTCTTGCAACTTGTAGTTTGCCTTTTTGGTTGCTATGCTGCAAAAAGATATTGGGACACTGCTCTCAAACTATCCATAATTGTATGTAACTTACTTTTCTCGGTAAGAAAAAAAATACTTTATTTTAGTGTTTTTATATAATTTTATTTTTTAATATACATTTAAATAGTGGTAAAATTAAAAATTTATTATATTTTTAGGTAAAATTAATAAGTTAACTACTTCCCTTGATTCTAATGAAATAGTTGAATATGCTTTAGGAAACAGAAGGAATATTAGCATGAGAGATAAACACTATAAAATAACAAAATAAGGGGCAAGTCTAAGTGAATAATAAATATAAATAGTATATTATTTTTAATGGATTGTTCATCCAATTGTTAGAAAAAAAATGAAATGAGTTGATAAAATTAGATATATAAAAATAAGGCTATGAATTAATGGAGAAGTGGGAACGATCCAAAAAAAAAAAGTTATGAAATGATAGTGAAATTATAATAAATATTGATGATCTTATTCATACTAGCCTTCATTTCTTTCTTTAATAATTTGTATAAATGATGAGAATACTTACTACTCACTTATAACACTTATTTTTAATTAAACAATGCTTAAATTTTATGCCGTACAAATTTTCACAAAGACTGTGGCTTCAATAGTGAATTATAAACATTTGCGTGAGGAACTAGTGACTCTTGCGCTGTTAAGAGCCTCTGGTGCACTTGTCAACCAGGCACACTTCTGTCAAAACGGGCCCACGTAGAGGGCCTTTTGCGTTTGTGGCCACTGGAAGGAGCAAAAAATTTCAAAAATCGGACGGCTCAAAATGCGTCGACAGCAGGATTCGAACCTGCGCAGGCAAAGCCCAACAGATTTCGAGTCTGTCTCCTTAACCACTCGGACATATCGACGCTTTAGAATTAGTTCAAATTTATAACTTTTCTTTCATATCATATCGTCGTTGAGCAAAGGCAAGTGGTGGGCTGGATCGCACATAACGTGTTACGGGTCCAAAGGCCCATTTCGAACGTTGAGATTGGGTGTCAGCACTTCTTGCATTGAAGCAATTGGGATATAATGATAAGATAATGTAGCCCATACCCCCACAAGTTCACATGTTGAAATCTCATTAACAATGTGAGGATTTTATTAATGAATGATTTACAAGTATCTTTATAAATGTCCTAAACCTGAAAACATATCTTGACCATGGTACCCAACTCACTTGAACTTTTTAGACTCAAAGGAAAAAGAAAAAATTGGGATTGCTCTATATAGAGCTTGTTTGGTTTTGTTCTCATTCTTTGTTTTAAAAATTATTTTTTAAAACCAACCAAAATTAAAATCTATTTGATTATGTTAATTTGAAAAAAAATTCAGAGTTAAAAAAAGATTGATAGCGGTAGTTAACTGTGATTAATGATGATGGTCTATGATAATGGTTGATCATACCTAGAGGTAATTTATAATGGTCAAATGTAATGTATTTTAAAAATAAAAATAAGAAACTCTAAATTGTTTCCATTTTTGAAAACAACAAATAAAAACACAGGGTTGAAAATATTTAAATTCAAAACACTTAACCAAACCTTTTTTTTTATTTTTAAAAATACAAAACAAACGCCCTTAAATTCTTAGATATGTTTTTTGTGTTCTATGAATTGTTTTAAACTATGTTCCCCCTTGTACTATCTGAGAAATAAGTGTATGGACTTGAGAAAAGTATGGTATTTTTTTAATTATAAATCTTATTATATATTATTCAGGTAAAAACATTTTAAAATTTTTTGTAGAAGCGTCTTTCTTTTTGTTTTTTGTTTTTTTTTTTTGTTTTTGCAGATCATGCTAACATTCATAATTTTGTTTATGTAAATTAGAACAATCCAGACTATCTTATTTATGGGTAATTGAAGCTGGAATTCTAGAAACTCCAATCTCACTGGTTTGTTGCCAAATTACAATTTGGATATTGTCATGCTTTATTATTACTTAATATTATTTATTAAGCGCTTTCTAGAGATATTCTTTTGCATTGGATTGTGAATGCCACAACTCCAATAATCAATCTGATGTGATTATATTCACACAGTTATATTTTAAAATCATAAAAAATGCAATGATAGATAATGCTCTCATCGTTTTTAACTTTTAAGGGGATAAGAAAAGGGTCTTGTCCTTTTTTTTCCCATGCTCAAATGTCAATTGTTATTATCAGGACTAATCATTCGATTCAAGACATTAAACCAATCTAATCTTCCCCCAACGGCTGCTATAGCTTGGATCCTTGTTGATAACAAATAACATAAGATAGTGTTTATTAATTTGGATTGGTGGATTTAGATTCAGATTTTAGATTTAAAATTTCACATTTTAAATTTATATATTTAAAATTATTTATTTGGATGGTTTAAAAAAATTCAAATAAGGAAAAAAGATGAGTTGGGATTCAAAACGAAATAAAAATTTAAAAGTTTTGAATTTATTTTTATTTTTCAATAAATAAAAAATGAGAATGAGAGATGATAAAAAAAAATACAATAGTCATATATGCATCAATAATAAATACACAAAGAGAATAAGAACTGTTTGAAAAACAACTAAAGTGTAAAAGAAATTTAAAATTGCAATAGAATTATAATAAGAAATGAATTCGGATTTGATTATAAATGATTCCAGATTCTTGTGTATCCAATTAAGGGATTTGGCACAAATCTAGATTTCCATTAATCCAAACACACTATAACTTTATTTATTAACATTTGATTAGTCTTTCAGAAAGGATAAGTTACTATTTCACTTCTATAAGTTACTATATCTGCTCCTTAAATTGTTTGCATTTCCATGTGATATACAATATTAAAGTAGAACCAATTATCATGGTTGTTTTGTCATTGATTCACCATTCATATCCTCATAGTGCTGTACGCAATCTAAGAAAAAGATACTGTAATCATGGCTTATAAAATAAAGAAAAATATATGACTTGTTAAATTTTATAATATAAGTAGATTATGATGGAAAATATTAGTACTTAATTGATGAATAAGAATTTAGGAAATTGACTTGTAAAAATAGGACTCAATCTTGAGATTTTCTTGGCGGAAAGGTGATTTTGGGAGTGGGTTTGGTTGGTTGGCCTTGA